AGAATGGGATGCAAAGTGCAATATTGATCCAAATCTTTAACAATGTTGGGAGTTGTTTGGTTTCTTGAGAGAAAACCTATTGAAAACACCTCACTCACACACAGAGAGCAATAATATAGAGAAACAAAGATATAATGTGTATCGAATTTCTTTGTTCTGTACAGTGTATCCATGTCCCTATGGGAGCCAAGTTCTCCCTCCATAGGAAAACAAAATCCTGACTATACAAAAGAATTCACAAGCCAAGTATTTACAACAAAGAATAACTCTTTTATATGAGCTCTGTTCCCGCCACTTCTAACTGTATTTCAATTACAATCATTCGAAGCCATTATCCCTTCTCTCCTTCCTTCCTAACTCTTCTATTCCTCTCATAAACCTTCCATCCTCTGTCATTACCCCCACCTGAAGATTAACATTGTCCTCAAGGTTAAAATCAAGGAATTGCTCCTGGATTGTCACCACATCCTCCCAAGTTGCACCTTCGACCCCTCCCTCTTCCCACTCGACTAAGATATGCAGTATTATTTGCCCTCCTTGTTGTCTTTGTTTTCAACCTAAGATTCTGAGTGGCTAGAATGTTGGTCCCTCCCCTAGAAAGTTCATGGGCAATTCCTTCTCTACTTGCTTCGTGCCTACTACAAATTTTAACCATGACGCATGGAATACAGAGTGTATTCGGGCCGTCTCTAGTAGTAACAACTTGAAAGCTACATTCCCCACCTGCTGGATTACTTTGAAGGGTCTGAAGTATCTCGCGGATAGTTTGGGATGCAACCTTACTGGTATAGAATCTGCCTATGGGGTCGAATCTTCATGTATACCCAGTCATCAACCTTGATGGTCACTAGTTTTCTTTGCAATTTGCATATTTCACCATCGTGTCTTATGCTCGTGCCAAATGAAACCGAAGTTGCTTGAGTGCTTCATCTCTAGTTTGTAGCTCCTGAGCCACGACCTACACCGCCGTTTCTCCTAGTACGAATTTCATGAGAGTTTCTCCTAGTGCAATTGGCCGTCCCCTGATAACTTGTGTTGTACGAGTATTCAACCCATGGGAGGATAAAGCTCCAACTTTTGGGTTGTTCCGAACAGAAGCACCTCAAATACCCCTTGAGGATTCGATTCAACACCTTAGTTTGACCATCCAAATCTAATGAACAATAAAGTTGAAACACGAAAACTCATTGCTAATTTCATTGTCTTTGCTGAAAAATAATTTAACTCTCAAGCTCAAATCATTCGCACAAACAATGGTTCTGAGTTCTCTATGCATGATTTTTTCACATCTAAAGGCATAATAAATCAAACATCATACATTGAAACTCCAAAGCAAAATGCAATTGTTGAGCGCAAGCATCAACATTTACTTAATGTTACTCGTGCTCTACTATTTCACTCAAACTTACCTTCATGCTTTTGGAGTTATGCACTTTTGCATGTCACTTATTTGGCAAATATCATTCCAACTCCGTTTTTGAATAATAACACTCCATTTCAAAAACTTTATGGTCATACATGTGATATCTCTACACTGAAAGTGTTTGGATGTTTGTGTTACATTTCTACACCCACTGCACATCGTAAGAAATTAGATCCACGTGCTCATCCTTGTGTTTTTCTTGGAATCCCACCTGCTACAAAAGGATACATTGCATATGATTTTCCATAATCGTAACATTGTAATCTTACGCAATGTATATTTTTATGAGGATCATTTTCCATTCATCTACATTCCATCAACCAGTTATGATATTTCTACTGTCTCACCAACTTCCTTTACTTATAATTCACCATCTCCTGATTTCGTTCCTGCTTCATCCCCTAAATCAACTCCCATTACTGCACCCCATCCTGTTCAACCAATTTCACCTACACATTCACTAACGCGATCCAGTCGTCCTCGTCATCCTCCATCTTATCTGCAAGATTACCATCACTCTCTCATATCAAATTCCACCAATCTTCATCGAGGTATACGCTACCCTATTCAAGATTTTCTTTCTTATTCTCATTTTTCTCACAATTTTCAATAATTTATTTCATCTATTTCCACTATCACCGAACCACATTCCTATGCTGAAGCTGTAAAATATGATTGCTGGAAAGATGCCATGCAAGCTAAATTGGAGGCTTTAAACTTGAATCACACTTTGACCCTCACATCTCTGCCACCAAATAAACATGTGATAGGTTGCCGCTGGATCTATAAAATCAAGTATCACGCTGATGGAAGTCTTAACCGCTACAAAGCTTGTCTTGTAGCTAAGGGATACACCTAAATGAAAGGATTAAATTATATTGCAACTTTCTCCCCTGTTGCAAAACTCACCATGGTTCGCTTACTTTTGGCTTTAGCTGCAATCTTTAATTGGCACCTCAAACAGCTGGATGTGAATAATGCTTTTCCTCATGGTAACTTAGATGAAGAAGTTTACATGACTCTACCTCCAGGCATTACTCTTGCTTTTCCCAACCAAGTGTGCAAACTTCAAAGATCCATCTATGGCTTAAAACAAGCCAGCCAACAGTGGTTTGCCAAGCTCTCTTCCTTTCTCATTCAACATGGCTATCAATAATTTGAATTTGATCATTCTCTGTTTTTGAAGATTTCTGAGTCGTTTACTACAACACTCCTTGTATACGTTGATGATATTGTTCTTGCCGGCAATAACATTGAAGAAATTGAAACTGTTACACGCCTCCTTGATCACGCCTTTAAGATAAAGAATCTTGGCAATCTCAGATATTTTTTCGGTCTAGAAGTTACCCGCAACAACACTAGCATACATCTCTCTCAACGCAAGTACACTCTTGATATTTTTACAGATTGCGGTATTCTGGCTTCTCGTCCTGTTGCCACACCAATGGATTATATTGCTCGCCTTTCCACCTCATCTGGTACACCGCTTCCTAATTCTTCCTCATATCGTCGACTTCTTGGACGCTTAATATATCTCACTACCACTCGCCCTACATCTCCTATGTTGTGCATCATTTCAGCCAATTCATGTCTGCTCCTACATCTGCACATTCTCAGGCAACCTTTCACATTTTACGATATCTGAAACAGGCTCCAAGTTTAGGCCTATTTTTCTCCACTAATAGTTCTCTCCAATTGAAAGCATTTAGCGACTCTGATTGGGCGAGCTGTCTCAACACTCGTCGTTCCATTACATATTTTTCCGTTTACATTGGAGATTCACTCATTTCATGGCGTTCTAAGAAGCAACCTACAATGTCTCGCAACTCCTCAGAGGCTGAATATCGTGCCCTTGCGACCACAACTTGTGAGCTTCAATGGATAACCTATCTGCTGATTGATATACACATTCCCTTCAAGCAACCTGCTCTTCTCTATTGTGATAATTAATCTACACTTCAGATTGTAGCAAATCAAGTGTTCCATGAGCGCACCAAACACATCGATATTGGCTGCCATTTTAGTCTGTGAAAAGGTTCACTCTGAACTGGTAAAATTACTCCCTGTGTCTTCTCCTCAGCAGCTCGCAGACATCTTTACCAAATCTCTGTCTCCTTCCATGTTTTTCACTCTTTGTACCAAGCTAGGAATGCTCAATCTTTATTCTCAACTTGAGGGGGAGTCTTAACCGTAATTAGTTTTTTGCAATATTTTTGGGATCCCGTTTTCTGTATGGGTTCTGTTATTACTTTTTCTGTTATTTGTTTTTCTCTTTCCTCCTCTTCTGTTTATATACACACTTTTATCTTTTAATAAAACAAGTCTGAGCAACATGATTCATGCTTGCATTACGTTTCTCTTTGCGCAATTCTATCTATTCTTTGTCAGAAAGTAAAACAAAACTTCAATTGCAGCTTGAATTAACCACAAAATCAATCACGCACAAGAAAGTGAGACAACTGCACCGATTGAAATCCTCAAAACGACAAGTCCGAAGAAAAATCAACGAAAACAAACAAGCGAAGCGGTAATTCACGAAGCATCGTTGCAATTGAGTAACAGCGCGAAGAGAAAAGACATTTCACCGATTGAAACTTGAACTAAGTGAAGCGCAAGCAAAGTTCAAGAGAGTGGAACAATGTAGAAGACACTCTAAATATCATGTTGAAGCACTAGAACGAGAGAAAATGTGAGAAACATATATTGAATTGAACTAAATTTTATTAAATGAATATCATACTTGAATGTTCTGTTCAACTTATATTTATACACAACATGTACTGTTGTACAAGAGATTTAAAACTAATAATGATTGACCATTGACCATAATTGACCACTAACTATTAACTTTACACTAACATTATAAAAATTTAAACTTATTAAAAATCCCAATAATTGACTTTCTAATTAATAGTTATTTTTGAGTACTGCAGACAATTTACAATTTTTTTAACTGCTATAGTTATCCACCACTGGTGTCTACAGCTGCATTGACTTTCTAACCTATAATCAACTTTTAGAAGTATATTACAGTGCATAAACATCTTATCATGCAACTGAACTGGTGGAATTGTTTGCTTACTTGGGCTTGAAATGAAATCTTAGATGCGAAAGTGATCTTTGTCATATTATATGTCTTCCCTTAAAAAGTTTCTATTATTGCACAAATAAAAAATATTTTTATTTATGATAAAGATCTTGTTCACATAGTCCTTCTAAGGATTCACATGTCACAGAGAGGCAACAAAACAATTACAAGTGAATTGAAAATTAAAAATTACTTGGACTATAAATACATATACATACCAGTAATTTTACTGCCAACTATGTTAGAGTTTCTAACTATTCCCTTAACTACCATCTGCCATTAACAATCTTGAGTGTTTTTAAGAACCTTCAAGTGAGATGCGACACAATGCTTAAAAGAGCATGTTTCCACTGGTTCTCAGCTGCAAACTCTAACACAACTTCATAGAAGAAATTGCCCTGTTATCCAATATTATGAAATTTTCAATTGCAAGTTAAGGAATATAGAACACTTACAATTTGGAGATGATTGGAATAGCGATTGGGAGAATAACAGCAAGAACTCCATGTCACTTGAAACAAATATCAGCAAAGGTACATAAAGAGGAAGATGCAAACAAACATGTAATCTCTGCAAACAGATAGTGAAGCAAAAATGGGTCATTCTCAAGGCCAGAAGTCTTGGACAACGATGGCGGAAATCCTCGTTCATTTTGCAAAATCTCTGGCAGTTTCAGTACGTTATTGGCGGTGCCATTTGGTTCAGGCACTTCAATTTCCATGTACAAACATGGCAAATTAAGTTGTCGAGGGTTGAGGAATTGGCAATGAAAACCACCCCCATTTTAGTCGCAACCATGACATGATGAGACACATGAAGCTTCATAAAGCTACAGGAGAGAGATTGTAGAGTGAATATCCAATTCCAATAGGACCAAATTCCAAGACCTCAAAGCCCAGTTCTTTCCTCTTCCACATCTTCCTGTTTTTCAGTCCTCCCCTTCACCCGAATGTTTAAAGAACTTATTAACTTCTCTGTCCTTGGCTCTGGCACCATTCCTTTTGCTACCATCTCCTCAAAATAACGCACAACATCCTTCACCCTCCCTTTTTCAAAGTGCTCATGAATCATGATGGTATATGATCTCCTATCTGGCCCCCATCCACTCCTCTCCATTTCTTCCCATGTTTTTCTAACTCCATCCTCGTCATCCCATTTCATGTACAATCTCAACACCAAATTATAAACATCATCATTCATGCTGCACCCATTCCTCTCCATCCTCCCCAAAACCTGGTGTACTTCCCCTGGCTCCTTCAAGCTCTTGAGCAAGCAACAATAAGTAACAACATTAGGCAAGCAACTCCCGTTCCTCCTCTCCATCTCATCCACCAGTTCATACACCTTCTCCATTCGTCGTATCTTGCACATGTACTTAATAAGAGAATTGTAAGTAGCGACGTTCGGTTCGCAACCTCGCTCACTCATGTCACGAAAAATCTCCAAGGCCTCGGGAATCCTCTTCTTGAAACAAAGAGCATCAATGATGCAGTTGCATATCACAACATCTGGCTTACAACCCTTGTCCAACATGCCACGGAACAACCTCAGTGCCATCCCAAGTTTTCCTTTCTTGGTTAACGCCTTGATAAAGGTGGCATAAGTGAATACATCAGGCTTACAAGGAGAAGCCACTATGTCCCTCCACACCCTCTTTGCCTCATGAGCGTTTCCCAAAACACACCAACCATTCAGGATCACGTTCCAGGTCTTTATATCCGCACTACAAGACACATTAAAAATTAAAAAATAAAATAAATTATAGACTAAATTTAGCTTATGCATAAATAAAACATTAAAAAACTGTATAAAAAAGGCTTTATGAGTTTGAATAAACTAATTTTAACTACTTAAAAAATTTACTTCATTTTTTCTATTCATTTCTGCTCTTCTAATAAACAATCCCAAATCAAAGTAATTTCATCACTAATTCTGGTCAGTGATACCTTAATTTTTTTAGAATACCTGAAACCCTTCTTCATCACATTATGGAACAACGTTTCGGCCTCTTCGACGTGCTTGAACCTGCAAAGCCACATCAAGAGGGTACGAAAAGCCTCGGAACCAGGCTCCAAGCCGAACTCCTTCCTCCGGCGGAATAACTGAATTGCATCGTCCACTTTATGAGCACCCACGAACCTACGAAGCAGTGTGGCAAACATCTTTTCATCGACAAGCCCCTCTCTGTTTGACATTTCATCGAGCACCTGGTGCAACTCCTGAAAGCGCTGCATTTTGCCGAGGATGTCGAGGATCTCGTTGCAGACATCGGAACTGGGTTCATAGCCGGCGGTTTTTGACCAGTTGAAGAAGACGTGGGCGGGTCGCCAATCGGAACGGTGCCGTCGCAGAACGTCGAGAACGAGGTGGTGGTTGAGATCGACGCCGCACTGGTCAAGGGCTCGATGCAATTGGTCCGTGGGCTTGTCTCTTCGGAACTTGAGAATGTTCTGGATCAACGAGGCTGGACACGAATGCACGAATCGTGGGTTTGAAGTTCCAACGTTGAACAGTGTTTGGAACAATCCTTTGTAAGCACTGCTACTGCTTCTACCGTTGTAAGCCATGCCTCACTAACAAGGATTTTATTTGATTTGTCGCAATTTGCAAATGCTCATTCATCGGAAAAACTATTTTGAACAAAAATCCAAATAAAGTGTTAAAGAATTTCACAATAACAAAAATAAAATTCAGCTTTCTTTTAAGTTTTTAATCTAAAGAAATATTATTTTATGTATAAGTTTTTGTTCTCCTTATCTTTATAGAGAGAAAGAAAATTCATTCATCAGATCTCTTAATAGACAACTAAATAACAAGGTGATTAAGCTTGTAAAAATTGAATTCCTATAAGTTGAAGAAGGGTTGGCTAGCTAAAGATCCTTACAATTTTTATGACTAACTGTGAAAATGTGCAAGAGAAAATTTGAATCATATATTTGAGAGAAAGGTCAGGTACATGACATTACTTTGTTGATTGCACTGTCAAAAATTAATTATATATAGTGAGAATACAGCAAAGAATGAGAATCTACCCTTGTCTATCTCTCAGTTGGTCAAAAAATGAAAGATGCGATGATGCTAAGTAGCAATTGAAATTATGATTGCGTTGAAACATAATTTTCGTGAGTGAGTGACTTAAGTGGATAATTTTCGTGAGTGAGTGACTTAAGTGGATGAATTTGAGAGAATTAAAGAATAAAATGTGTGTTTATTTTTAAGAGATTTAGAAATAATTGAGAGTTAATATCAAGTTTGTCAAGAATATTTGATTGATCTAATAAATTGAAAAGAAAAGTTTAAATAGAGAGAAAATAAAAATATCAAATATCAAATTGTCCTTAGTAGTAATAATATAAAATGATATATATAAATAATATAATTTTTGGTAAAAATTATTTGAAATATTATAATTAAAAAACTTAATAAATAATTAATACAATTTTTTTAGGATACTTAAATTTTTTGTTTAAATAATATTTTTTAATATATACTGGTATTATTTATTGATTTTATACTAAAATTAAATATTCATGATCATACAATTAATAAATGAACTTAAAATATGACATGAGATATTAAATGTACGTACATAATGAGGTACAACATGATTTAAAATAAATCATAATGAAATTTTTCTGTTCATGTATATAAACAACATATTCAAACGATATTATGTCAACATCCTTATTATAGATTGTTGATTGGATGAGTGTGAAGATAAAAACCGAAATACTGTCTAAATAAGTTGTCGTTTTGAACGTTCATTGTTGTTAATAAGTAGAAATTTCCTCTCCAGTATATTGAGATGAATGAGTTCTAGCAATTAGGTTGTTTATGGCAATAAACAGGGCATTCCAACATTCGATGGTTATAAGTTGCCGGTCAACAATGACAAACATTCTTCTTGTTTGAACATTTTCTTCCTCTAGTTCGTTAATTATTCTAGAATCCATCTAATTTGAAGTCCATTAAGTTAAAATGACAAATAAAAAAACTTTAACAAGTTATATATAATAAAATATAGGATTAAATATGTTTTTAGTTTCTTAACTTTAAATGAAAATTGAAATTAGTCCTTCTTTGAAACTTTATACCAATTTAGTCTCTCATGTTTAAAATTACGTGGATTTAGTCATTTTAACCAAATTTTATTAAGTTTATTTGATATTTAAAACACGTTTCTCATTTAAAATTGAAGTGAAAATGTGTTAAATTGTGTAAACAACTCAAATGCTACCATGAAACGCGTTTGAAACATCAAATAAACCTAACTAAATTGGGCCAAAGTTTTGAAGAGAGACTATTTCCAATTTTCATTGGAAGTTAAGGGGCCAAAAACATATTTAACCCTAAAATATAATTAAAGTTGATGAAATATAATGAAGCAAAGAGGATCATGATACAATTATGCAATTATAAACCTCTTATTCCTCTAATTTGTGGAGATTTAAGTTGACATTGAAATTGACTTTTGTCGTATATTGGTTGGTGTACATAGTTACATTGAATAAGTTATCTTCAATTTGCTGAACACGGTGCATATCTTCCATTCATTGCATTATGTTTTACAAGTCTTGAATCCCCTCCCACATTTGACTCAGCATGTCCTAATTTGAAGGGTAGGAAGGATGTTGAAAATCACCCACCAGGGTGTTGCCTTCCTACAATAGGGTCCTCATGCCCAAAACTTTATTCTTGTAGTTGTCCTTCATCTTCATTAACATGGAGGTTGTGCTATCATACACCGTTGACGTTAACAATATTGAACTTCTGCAAAGAATTGGTGGAAAAATGTTGTCTGAAACCAATTTGAGTGCTTGTGTTGGCAAATATCTACTCTATTGTATTGCATAATTTGGGTGATTAAAACACTATATGGGATAGGCTTGTCAACTAACTTGCATTTAATAAAAACAATATATGGGTGATCAACAACATAATGAAGAAGTTTGTCATTTATGTTCAGACAACCAACCGTTTTCACACGTTGACCTTATATGTCCGATCTTACCATAGAAGCTAATGCCATGCCATGGTGAAAAAGGGATGTCTTCTGGTAAATCTATAAAGGAAAATTTATGATCCTCGTACTTTAAATGGGCAATATTAAACCAATCATCTAGTCTCAACTTAACTTTTTCCCTATTCATCTCACTTAGTATGTATCCATTGGTAGAGATCCTTAGATTTGAAAAGAAATTTTTTATCAAATCGAGATAAAATGGACGGTCCAATGAAACAAAGTCAACCAACCCTTAAAATACAAGGTGGTGATGAAAATAAAGCCCAAATGTAGCGAAGGAATCAAAATATCATAATCTTTGACAACATAAGAGTTCTTATATAAAATTCACTTGCGTAGTCCTCCATATGATGGTGATCGCTTAAGATTGTTATTGCGGCTAATGTTGTGCACATTTGTAATTATGGATGTAAGTGTGTTACTATATTGAAGTCCACACCCACCACATCCTTCACCATCTAAATATGATACATCTAATTCTTCTTCCATTTTTATTGCCTTATACAAATATAAACACTATTTAATACAAATCAAGATGAAGTTATATTCATTTTATTCCTTTGAAAAACAAAACAACATATTTTATATTTCTTAAAACAAGAATTTTGTAAACACTAATACATATACTAAACATCAACATTTGAAAAATATGTCCATTGAACAACACAATTTAAGTTCAATATTTACCATAATAATGCATTCAACATTCAATTATTAACAAACTAATGCATGCTTCTTGATCATACATATAATAATTAAACGCTGCATATAATCAAACTTACCTCTTGAAGACTTCTGTCGTAATGAACGAAACACATAACCAAGGACCTAACACACAAACATAAACCTTGCACACAACCACCACAAACCACAACCACCAATGGAGCACAAATCAAAACAAGGGTGAACCCAAAACATAAGAACTATCAACCAAACACTAAACAACCACACAACACGAAGCACCTCCACATATAACGAGAACCAAAATGGAACTTGGCAAGCACTATCACCAACCACCATCACTGCTCCAAGATCTACACAAACTACCAAATGTCAAACAAAACGAAGAGAGAAACAAACTTCACATCCACGAACCACCAACTAACCTCCACCACCTATAGTAAAAGTCATTGATAACGTTATCGTTGACGCAATCAAATTAATTCTACTAAACTATAGCAACTTCAGTATTGCTAAGATAGTTGTCAACAAAATAAAAATGGTTAATTCAACCATAAGTCGTCTCCCAATGAACACAAAATTGATTCTAAAAAAAATTAGTTCTTATAAAAACTATACAAAAGTGTTAGTAAAATAATAAAGAAGATAAAGATAAAGATAAAGAAAGGATTAGAGGACGAAGTAGCAAAAGATAGATAGAAAGAAATTTATAATGAGATTTGAAAAGATAGAAAAAACAATGACAAATAAAATAGGTTGATTTCATTGCTTTTTCAAAATAGGATTCATTATTGGTTATCTAAAGATTATTGTTCAATTAATTATTATCTTAAATTTTCAAATTAATCAATATAAATTCTAATTCAATTTGTTGAGGTTCTCACTCTTAACCAATGTACATTCTCAATTAAAAAGCTAATTAACCAAAGTACATTCTTGATTAATTCTTGTTAAAGTTTTTACCACTAATCAAAGTACATTCTCAATTATTGGCAAAAACTCATTCAATCATATGAAAGTTTCTAACTTTAATCAAAGTAAATTCTCAATTAATATTAAAAACCCTTGGACTCATATGATTGATATGTTATGTAGATTTGACACCATGCTAAATTGCTATAATGTAAAAATCATTACTTTTACTTGATTAAGAAGAAAAAGACATAAATAAAAATAAATCACAAGAAGAATCAAAAGAACAAGCAAATGTATTCATCTAACCTCATAATCCAGTAGGAATTACAGTACAATCAACTCTAGAGGCTTAGCACTCCATGAAATGTTGAAATAACATGAAAATAAAAGAGGAAAGGGTGTAGAACATGAGAGAAGAAAGGTGGATGAAATTCGGACCCCCCCAAAGGGTTCCTAAGCTCCTTTAATGTGTTTCTCTAAGTCTCTTTATATAGAAATTTGATTGAGCTTTGTTTTTGGCATTTCTGTTGTTGTAATCTTCTTTATGATAATATAATATCCTCCAATTATCTTCTAAGTAATCCAATATCTTCAAAATATATTTGATTGTTGTGGAGATCTAATAATATTATAGAAGATATTTGCTAGATTAAAAAACAAATTTTGCAAATATTATCTTTTGATATTTATTGATATAGTTGTAGGAATTGGTATCGCGCAACGAAATGTTTAAGAGCGTGTAAACGGACACAAAATCAAAAGGGGATGATGGAATTAGTTCTATTAAAAATTTTTGTTTTCTTTTAGAAATTTCTTTGAATAGTTTAAAGTAAGGAGATGCAGAGATAAGAAAAAGTACACAAAGGATTTTTATATTGGTTCGAATCAAGAGACTGTACATCAAGTTGTTAATCACTATAAATGAGTGATTAACCTTTCACTAAAACTCACTTTGAAGTTACAAGATAAACAATGATATAATCAGTACAGAAAACACCTTC